AGGACTGGAGTTCAATCCCCAGTACCAAAAAAAAAGATAAAGAAATGGTCAATAGCACTTGAAACTGGGAAAATCCTGCTTAGGACCACACCAAGGTTTTCTCTCTCTCTCTCTCTCTCTCTCTCTCTCTCTCTCTCTCTCACACACACACACACACACACACACACACACACACGGGCTGGATTTAAATCTAAAAGACTGATCACTGTTGCTCACAGGCAACTGGGAACGATGGGCCCTTCCCTCCCTTCCCTTCCCTTCCTCACACAGCTGCTGGAAGAAACCTTGGCAGGGTCATACCTGCCCTGCATCCAGCCATTCCCCTCCTGGATGTTCTCCTGAGTGAAAGGAAACATCAGTCCACAAAGGACAGGCACACAGAGGAAGTTCGTAGCAGCTCCATTCCCCGCAGTCCTGTCTGGAAGTAACTAAAGCATATCCAGCCAGGTGAACGAGAACCAGGCTGTGGCTCACCAACAAAAGGGAAACTCCTGATTCTCCCAACACCATGGGTGAATCCCCAAAGCATCAAGCTGAACAAAAGAAGCCAGATAAAAGGGCATGTGGTGTGATTTCCTCTTGATGAAAACTGGAAAAGACAGAACTACAAGCAGTCTCCATTAGAACAGCGGTAGCCTCTGGGGTGGGCATCAGCAGGAACTGAGAGAACGTGGAGGGGCAAAGGAATGTTCTACACCTTAGCAGAGAGTATGGACTGCCCCTGTGTATGCATTTGTCACAGACCATCAACCAGTATATTCAGATGTGTTTCACTGTGCTTAAATTACACTTCAATTTTGCCAAAGAAAAAAAAAAATCCAAAGACCAAATGAGAAGCAGAAACAGAAGAAAAATGAGAGAGAAACATTAAGAGACATGAAAGAACCACCTGGAAACTGAACAGCTATGTAACAAGAATCCTAACACCGGACATCATGAAGGATAAATAGACAGTGAGATAGCTTTTTTCCTGAACTGAAAGGAGAACAATTTAGGATAAAAGGGCTAGGTCAGGGTAAATGAAAAATGACCCACCTCCAGATCTGTTCCCGTGAAATTTCAGACTCCTGAGGCATGAGAGCAAGTTCTATCTACAAAGGGACAGCCCAGGCTGGCTGCAAGGCTCAGTGGGTACAGGTAGCAGGAGCAGCATCCTCAAGGGATCGACCTGGAATTCTACGCCCAGACAAACATACATCCTGCCTGGCCACCCAGGCCCATCTTCTGACATTCAAGAACGTGGAGTTTAATTCCCACATACCCTAGGAGAACCAAGCTCCTGGGAAGTTTTGCCACAAGACACAGAACAATGCAACAGAAAGGGATGTGGCTAAGCTGACCCTTAAGTCACAGGTATGAAGGCAGCTGGGAAAGACATGGGCCCTTGCGGGGTTGGGCCGACTTTCAGGGCAACAACCTCTCATCTACAATTTGGACCTACTCACAGACTCGAGAGGAACCTCACAGCAGCACTTACAGCATAACTTACTTATGCCATTATGTTAGCATCAACCAACAGCAAGGTGTATAAGATATCCTATGGCTTCACAGAAAAACATTCATGTTGTAAACAACATAACTAACAAAAATGGGAGGCAGAGGAAAGAAACAAGCACATGCTACAATCTCTCTTTTTTCCTGCATTTTGGGGATTAAATCCCAAGGCCTGGCACATGCTAGACAAGTGCTCTACCATCTACCACTAAACTATACCCCAGCCCCTACAATCCTCATGTGTGATGGCAAATACCAGCTAAAGTAGATAGAGATATGAAAGTCAGAAATTGTTAACCATGGTACCTCTAGGGGTGGACTGAAAAGGGGAGAGACCTGATATTCTACGCCATTGGGCAGTTTTGGGCTTGGTTTGGTAAGACAGGGTCTCTCTTTGTAGTGCAGTCTGGCCTTAAGCTCACTATGTAGCCCAGGCTGGGCTCAAACTCATGGCTTTCCTCCTTCCTCAGCCTCTGAAGTCCTGGAGTTGTAGGTATGTGCCACCATGCCTAGCCATTTTGTTTTTTGAAACAGTCTCAGTAAGTTGCCCAGGCTTGACTGGTGCTTGCAGTCCTCCTGCCTCACCCTCCCTAGTGCTAGGGTCACAGGCGTGTGCTACTGTGCATGGCTATCAGGCTGTTTTCATCAGCATAACACACTGCTTGCTCATCTGAAGACCAGTGTGTCCTCTGAGTGCAGCCCTCCATCCCTCACAGGGCTGTCCAAGTCATCTTCACGCTGGCCCACCACTGTGTGGCCCCATTAGGTCCATGGCACACCGAGGACAGAGCCAACCCAGGCATCTGTATGTTGGGCACACTGGTGGGACAAATTCCTTATTTAATCTAATTTAATTAATCTCAGAGAGCTCAGGTCAAAAGCAAGGGCAGGAGCAAAGCACCTGGTCCTTACCGACTTCCAAATCCCACCAGAGCTGTGCTGAGAGGGAAGGCTCCCAGCCTCTCCCCCAGGGGGCTGTTCAGACCACATGCCCCATCTAGACAGGAGCTCCCATCACATCACCAGGTCCGCATAGCTCCAACTCCATCCTGGATGGCGAAAACCTATCGCATGGTAAAAAACAAAAAGATATTCTGG